GATGGCAGGGGGGTTGGAACTAGATGATCTTTAAGGTCCCTTCCAACCCAAACCATTCTATGATTCTATGATATCAGCCTCTCCTCCCAGTTTGGTGTCATCATCAAAAGTGCTGAGGGTACACTCTGCCTCATCACCCAGGTCATTAATGAAGATGTTAAACAAGACTGGCTGCTAGTCAGTACCCTCCAGATAGACTATGGCACTGATCACCTCCCTCTCAGCCCAGCCGTTCATCCAGTTTTAAGTCCACCTTCCTATCTGCTCATCCGGCCTGTACATCAACAGCTTCTCTGTTGAGGCAGTGTCAAAGGCCTTACCTGAGTCCAGGTAGATGATGTGCACTCTCCCCTTGTCTACCAGGCCAGCTGTTTCATCATAGAAGTTTATCAGGTTGGTCAAGGGTGGCTTGTCCTTCTTGAATCCCACTGACTCCTTCTGATGACCTTCTTGTCTTTCATGTGCTTTGAAATGGTTTCCAGGATTAGCTGGTCCAGAAAAAATTTCTGCTTTTCAGAAAATTTTGAGCACTCTGGTCTCTCTTGATACCACACTTCTTTTGATTTTTCTTGCTTCCTGTGTAAATGTAGCTTAATTTCGTGAAGTGTTTTCAAGTTCTTTACTGTTCTTTACTTTCTTACTGTTTTCATGTTCTCTTTTCCTGCAGCTGTATTCACTGGTAGGAGTTAAATGTTTTAATTTCCTGCAGCTGTGAACATCTGATGGTTTGTTATGACTGTGAGCTGTTGGTAAAGTTAAATTTTTATTTATTGAAGTGATGTTTGTAGTATTGTATCATATGGGTTCTTTTTCAAAATATCTCATACAATCAGCTCTCTTCTCCTAGTTGAGAGTGAGGAAATAGCAGGGAAGCCCTGGATAATATTGTATGTTTGGGTGGAGGGGGGCGTGGAGGTGCTGTATGGGCTTTGCACATGGTCAGCGTAGCTTTGGCAGGGCTGATTGAAATGAGCTCTGCAAAAGAACCCTGCAAGGAGCTCTCATGCAACCTCCATATGAAACCACTTGAGCGTGTCTATATTACTGCTGTGGTTCTGAGATAGTGTGTAGTTGGGCTTTGCACTGCACCTGGATTAATAAACCTTTCTGGAACCTAAACCAAGGTACAGTAAATCTGAATGACTCTGCAGAAACCAGTGTGGGATGAACAGGACTGGGGCAGAGCCAGAACTAATAAATACTACTCATCTGAACTGTCTCTGTGGAGATCTGGCTCTAGGTTACTACTCAACACAAGACCAAATTCAGTCTAAAAGTGTGTATAACTTTGTCTTTTTTTCATGCATTTTTTTTAGCCATACAAAAAGAGTATCATTACCTACTATTTCATCCTTAGTTTATTTTGAAATAAATTTTGTGATTTTAAAAATAGACAGTCATATTTCCCAGCTTGAAGTAGTGTATGTGAAGAAATCCTGATTCACATTATAGTAAAATTCTATTGAGACAGTACTTTTATAGTGAACTTTTTCATTTATGGTCAGTCCTTATTTAAAGAAGCACTTACTTGAATTACAAATGGAAAACTCATCTTAATATTCATAGTAGCATGTAGGATGATGGTATAAGAATTTAAAGTGATGTGACAAAAACCAGTCCTAAACTATACAGATGTTGTTATGACTTGTTGCTAAAAGGTGATATTTTTCCTTTTAATAAAAGGAACATTTTGACAGGTCTTGTAGTCTATATGCAGGGAAAGCTCCAGGGCAGAATCAGGAGTGGACTGAAGCATTTAGTGGTTGGTTTATGTTTTCACGGTAACAACCTGAGCAGAAGGTGATCACGGGGTGATACTATAAAAGTCTGGAGACATCTGAGGTTTACTTACTACAGCCTTCCAAAAAGTGCCGCTGTTGAAGGAGCTGCAGTTCTTAGGAATTACTCCCTTAAAATCTCAGGATATTCAGCCCATACACTGTAATTCTGTACTTCTGGGGAGCTCCAGGTATAAAGCAGTGTCCTTCATACTCCAAATTTCTGTGACTTATTACATGGAAATTAACTCATCTCTTTTGCTGTCTTTTAGAGACTTGCTTCTAGTCTTTTTGTCTAACTTGATCTAAAGTTATTTATATCCTGCTTATTTTTGTTCTTTTGGTATAAAGACTCTTTCAGAATAAGAAGGAAAATGTGTATATTGCAGCATGCAGAGTGAATTTAATTGTTACTGCGCATCTTGAAGTTGTGTCAGCATGGTAGAGACAAAATCTGCTTCATTCTCTGTGTTCTAGTATAATTAAAAATAGAATGGAATATGTAGGCTTTAGCTTCTTGCATTTTTAGTGTGAAAATAAGCAAAATCCTGTAACTGAGCATACCTGTATTTTGGCAGATGTTGCTATGGTAGCTGCAAAATACTGCTAGAGTATCTGATAAAGGTAATATAAAGGATGCTAGGAAAATAAAACAAAATACAATTACATGTTCAAGAACAAGTGCCGTGGGTTGGAGAGTAACCCTACACAGCTGTACGTCACAGTGCAGTGACGCTGGGTAGGGAGTTGTAGCTGCAGTTGTAAGCAGTGTGTTGGCAAATGCAGTATCCCCAGTGGACTTTGTTTTTAGGTCTTTCCTTTTGTGTGTGGGAGTGGGAAGGAAGTAGGGGTAGGGGACTTTCACAGCTGGTCTCTAACTAAGCCTTTTGATCATAGACCTCAAAATATCATGATTCTCATCTTTGGTGTTCAGCTATTGTAGTTTAGCTGATGCGTGTTTAAATTTCAATGACTAGTTACCACTGAGGCCCCACCTGGAGTACTGCATCCAGTTCTGGAGCCCCCAACACAAGAAAGACATGGACCTGTTAGAATGAGTCCAGAGGAGGCCACGAGGATGATCTGAGGGCTGGAGCACCTCTCCTGTGAGGGCAGGCTGAGAGAGTTGGGGCTGTGCAGCCTGGAGAAGAGAAGGCTCCGGGGAGATCTTATAACAGCCTTCCAGTACCTGAAGGGGCCTACAAGAAAGCTGGGGAAGGACTAAGGGCAGTTAATGACAGAACAAGGGGAAATGGGTTTAAGCTGGAAGAAGGTAGGTTTAGATTAGGCATTAGGAAGAAGTTCTTCACTGTGAGGGTGGTGAGACACTGGAACAGGTTGCCGAGAGAAGTTGTGGATGCCCCCTCCCTGGAAGTGTTCAAGGCCAGGCTGGATGAGGCTTTGAGCAACCTGGTCTAGTGGAAGGTGTCCCTGCTGATGGCAGGGGGGTTGGAACTAGATGATCTTTAAGGTCCCTTCCAACCCAAACTGTTCTATGATTCTGTGAAAAGCACAAGAACATGAAAGAAAGAAGATAGAAAGGTCTTTACTAGGAGACCCCAGAAAATGGTAATACCTAATTTAACACCTGGACTTTGTATGTGAAATGAGGGAGCAAGAACATTTTTGCCATTTGGAATGCACACACAACTACAAGCAGATTCCAGTTCTGATTTTGCTCTCATCTCCAAAGAATTGTGTGGCCCTGAACAGCTTGTGGAAGGTGTCAGTTTGCAAAGCATTTGTTTTCTTCATACATTTGTAGGTTTTTTTATTTTTTAGATTCAGAGTCTGAGGACGTTTGAGCCCAAGTATAGGCTGCATAAACCTTTGAACTACTTTTATAATTATAATTTTATAATTCTCAGTTTATGTGTGTGCACACATATGCATGGTGTTGTCCTCCCCACATGTGTCTTCTGTGCTACAGTGTGCTGAACATACTTAGTTGTTTGATGTTAGTGTCAGGAACCTTGTCCATATTTGAACTCCATGTCACTTACTAAAATCTTCACGTGGCTCAAAGCTGTAAGATACTTTCTACATGGTTCAGAGAGTCCCTAGAGCTTGAGGTGTGATTCCTGTGTGGGAGGTGATTGTGTCTCCTTGGTGTTGCTCCAGTGAAAAACAAGACTGCAGAGTCAGCAGTGCTTACTGGTTGGTTTCCTGCCCTAGCTGAGGATTTGGCTTACACCACAGCCAAAGCCAGCTCCATTTTCTGATCAGTCACACGGCACAGCTTTGGCATAGGAATGGCACTTGAGTGCCATGGCCTCTTGTGGATCAAAAGCCACAGCCTGGCCGCCAGTGGCGTTGCCATGGTCTGTTTGAGCTACATGTTAGCCACATCTCTGAAAATCATAGTCAGCGTTTGCTGAATTGGGTATTCACATTTTAATATAAGAAAAAATGAGTTACTGTAAAGCACTGTACCATAACTAGTCTGTGACTTAGTTTCACTGTTCGAAAAATAAAGCCAAACATGCTCAGTAGGGGCCTTGAGGCTTATCTGGTGTATTTTGTTGCATCCTGTGACTTGGAGGTGAAGACTTATAGTTCATGTAGCTTTACTGACTGACTGGTTTGGGATTCTTGTATTTCCTTAGGTACAACATTGATCCTGGCTTATACTGTCCATTTTTCTCTCTTGGGGCATGCATGGAAGGTTTGAACTCTTTGTTCAGTCAACTCCTAGGAATCTCCCTTTATGCTGAACAGACACAGAAAGGAGAGGTTTGGTCTGAAGATGTTCGAAAGTTGGTAGGTATTCTTGTTCCCAGCATTTGAAATGACAAAGGGAAGTTAGACAAGATGGTGTGTTCCTCTGAGCCGTGAATCAGATTTTGGTTTTAATTTACTTGGGTACCTATCAAAAGCACACACTAGTTGTCTAATTTTAGTTGAAGTTAGACCTCAAGGGCTTTGTGCTCTTAAGTGCCCTTTGTATGATTTGTATTTTATGGCCTTTATAATATGCCTCTGTGTGAAGGATGCCTGAATCAGAAGCAGTTTCTCTGTTTGGAGATTATTGTTGTACTTTTCAAGACATCCTTCTGAATGAGCCCTGCTAGTTTTTTTAGTTTCAATTTGTAGATGACTGTAGATTACTAGAATGCTGTAGGTGCGTATTCTAGCAGTCATGTGTCTTTGCTTCATTTTTTTATTCTGTATGTCATCTTTACTTTGGGATTGGTTTTTATGTCTTTATTTTTCTACTGTCATTTTAGGGGAGGGTGGAAATAAAAACTTGGGCAATAATTTACTCAGATTCCCAGTTCCTCTGTTGTCTTCCCTCTGTGTATTCACTGCCAGATCTTCTTCACTGCTCTTCCACTTCCAGCCTCCAGCAAGAGCTGCTGTTCTTTTTATCCTGTGGGTCAATTTATAATTACTGCTTACTCTTTCTGTTTTTATTTCCATGAAATCAGCTTCTGTTACTGTTGACCTCTCAGAAGTCATTTAGAGGCTACAGACAGTGTTACTTTTAATACTAATCTGTGACTAATTAGTTTTGAGTGAAATGCAGAAATGGCTGTAGTTTGAGGGACAATTGTGAATCTTGCATATATTTTTTTTCCAACTAAAATTACCAACAGGTTTTATGTTAATTATTCCCAGTTTATCTGTCATTTATTCACTATTAATCTTTGAATTAGAATACTGTGTCTTCAAATTACATGTCAGTGTTTTCACTGTGGAAATGACACATTTTTTTTCTTCAGGCTGTTGTTCATGAAACTGAAGGTTTGCTAGGATACATCTATTGTGACTTCTTTCAGCGACCTGATAAACCACATCAGGTAACATTTATGATCTGATTCTAGCCTGGGTTTTATTTGAGTAATGACTGTAGAGTTAGGGCCATTTGCATTCAACATAAGTTTAGTAGAAATTATCTTGATTTAAAATAAATTAAATTTAAACAGGGAACATCTGTAACTTCAAGTGCAGTTTTAGGTAAAATATTTTTGTGAGTAACCTTTCATTTAAAAAATGTCACCTGACAGGCTGAACTCAGACTGTTCTGTAGAATGACAGGCACTATGAAATGTCATGGAACTCTGTCTAGAGAAATGGTAGATTTTTAAAACACCTATTTTCTGGCCTACTATTTACAAGTAAAAACAATCTGAAGTTTTAATGCTCTCTAAAGGTGAAAACTCATAATGACAGCTGATTTTTATTAAAAATTTATCTTAAAACTGTAGATGGTTCCAGCTGTTGTGGCTCGCTCACTCATGCAACCTAGTGCCAATATATTAACTATATGATGCAGTACAATAGACACTTCACTCTGTAGAAGCATCTGCAAATTACCACCTTTAGTGAGGTGGTAAGTGGACAAACTTTAAATCTACATTAGTAAAGTATATTACTCTGTTTTGCTAATATTTCACAATATACTAGGAGTGCTGTGCAGTATATTTTATAAATAAGTTACTGCTGAAGAATGAGAGAATTTAATCTGTAAATTATGGAGTTGGCACATTAGTAAATTTCTTTGAGCTAGTGATATTTTTTAGAAAAATTGAAAGGTTTTGATAATTCTATAAAAAAAAATTACTTTGTTTTCTAAAAGCAACACAGTCTTTTCCTTGTGGAATAGTTTCCTTGTGAATATGAAGCAAGTAATAAAGGTGGAAAAACAGCGTGCTGCTCTTGAACAACACAGCACTGTTAATGATCATTGAATTAATTGCATATAACAGTATATGGTTAGGTTTGATTTAATAGTTTAAGTTTAATTTGATAATTTCATCATTGTTTTAATATCATTGATATAATGATATTATGGCTGTCCATATGTTTGCTTTTATCTTGAAAAGGATTGTCACTTTACAGTTCGTGGAGGCAGACTAAAGGAAAATGGAGAGTACCAGCTGCCTGTAGTTGTTCTTATGCTTAGCCTGCCCCATTCAACAAGGGGTGCACCAACGCTACTAAGTCCTGGCATGATGGAGAATCTCTTCCATGAAATGGGACATGCTATGCATTCTATGCTGGGAAGAACTCGGTACCAACATGTCACTGGTAAGGAAGTTAGAATAGTGATTTTTTTGTTTAAGTTAAATGTTTAATTTCTACAAGAAGGGAATAGCTTTAAAAAAAAAAGAAAAAATAAAAAAAAAAACCAAAGAGGGAGAGCCAGAAATTATTGAGTCATGTTGATACCTCTACATCTTTGATGACTTGAAAATACAATATCAGATCCCCAGATATTATCTAAAACCCAACCAAACAGCACTTGAATATTCTTCTTGTAATAAGAATTAGGCATTTGTATCTCTTCTTTCTGTACTGTTGATCTTTGTTCTAGTGGTGGTATCCACTCTTGCAAATTTTCCTTATGTGGAGTTTATAGTAATGCAATAGTTGGAGGATTGAAAATAAATTGAGTTGAACTTGTGCCTAGTGTAAAAAGCACAGTGAATCCTGGATTGGAAATTATTTAGGAAATTGAATTAAAGAAAATGAGTAAATTAGTTCTTGCAAAGAGCGTACACTGACAGTATGGAAAATCTGTAAAGTTGGGCCTTTTCTGGTTGATACTGATTAGAGCAAAGTTGATAAATTAAAAATGTATTGTATTTGCCAGGCTGATTAACTGGTCGGCCTTTTTAGCATATGTAAATGAACATGAATGATACAAAGGAGAGTCCATGGTAGAGTTACATGTCATCAACAGATACTTTGCATCCTGTGACAAAATATTCTTTCTTAAGTCTTCCACTTGAAATTAAATAGACTGAGCTGTTTGTAAGTATGTCACTTACATGGTTAAAACAAATGTACACTTTGCTCTTTCAGTATAAGCTCTGTATACTCCTTGGGATGGTTAACTGCTCTTCCTCACCCCTTCCACTCATATGGCCTTGCTCATCTTGACCTCCAAAGTAACTGCTTTAGTGGGGTTTTCCTCTTGTGGTGAATTGTGTGCGTCTGCATGTCAAAGTCTTGAGAGGCAGGAAATGGCTAATTTTGAGGCTGACTTTCCATGAGCCCCTGTGTATGGTTTCAGCTTGTCCTCAGCTCCAAGCAGTCCTTCATCCCAGGGGATTTCACTCCAGATGTAGCATTGCAAAAGCAGTGTCAGAGGTCAGTCATGTTTCTGCAGAGAACCTTTCTTTTAGGGTATGGAATGTGTGACAATGAAATGGCTGATCCCAGGGATCTCTGTTAGGGGCCATCTGCTCTCATGAGACCCTAGGGTGGCAAAGTGTGGAAACAAGATTACTACAGGCTATTGTGAGAACAGAAAAATTGACATTGTAATTGAGATGCACTGAGTATTTGACATCTTTCCTACTCTCCCCCACCTCCCTTTTCTGATTAACATTCCTAAATATTCAGAAAACCATTCTGCTGCTAATGGACCCAAAACTTGGATAATACTAGGTGGTTTTGACTTAAGATGTGCTTCTTTTTAAGTTGATCTGTCATTTAATTATATGCATTTATTGATTGTTTAATGCATATGTGTGTGTATGACATTTTTAAAAGCCTATCTTACATTCCATTTTAGTTGATCATGCAGTAGAGAATGCCTACATTTGTCTTACAGGAGGACTCACGCAGATAACTGCCCAACCTTTTACCTTTCTGACTTTCAGATAATTTTTCAAGAATCTCTTTAGTGGTTGTTAAAAGAATTCTGTCACTTTATTAAGAAACACTGAGAAAGCATAAATGGCTAGGGCAACATCGGTGTAGTTCTGCAGGCATTTGTCTTGGGGACGTGCCTTGTTTTAGCTTTTTAGAAATGATTTTCAAACAACAACAAAAAAAGACTCTACTAATGAAATGTGATGGCACAAAAGAAGGATTGTGATATTCTATAAGAACTGAATGACGGGATACTGCAGTGTTAGAAGTAAAATGCAATTTGGAACTACACAGTGCAGATCATGCATTTAAAGCATACAAAGAGAATTTACACTATCAAATGGATATTCCAGCACTGGTGGAGGAACAGAAGAACAGTTTCATGTGTTAATGCAGAACTACAGATAGTCAATGTGTCTGTGAAAGTGATTAGAAATTATATCAGTGTGGTGGGTTGACCCTGACTGGGAGCCAGGTACCCACCAAAGTCCACTCTATCAC